CATCGGGGATTTCTCCGGAGAAGAATACACACGGTTGCGTGTTTTACGGCCAACTTTCACCATTGTTAAAGATCGAAGTGCAGATGTGAATCGATCGCCAAGAACAAAGCTCCGAAGGTGATTTGAGAAGTTGCAAGGTCAAATTGATCATAGATTTGGCTTCAGAACAACAATCATTCGGTGAAATCAAAGAGAGGGTGAAGAATTTGAGAGAAATCAAAGTAATTTTGCGGAAAAATGCTCTGATACCATATTACCATTTACACATTAACGAGAGAGAAGTGTAAAAGGAAATATTTCTCATTATTGAAGAACAAAGACTTTACAACTTATATATATAGTTGACTTAGTAAACCAAACTAATTGAACTAATAAACCATACAGTTCTAGAGCCCTTAACCAGCTATCTATACTGTACATACATGACCGCTATATACAAACTAATAGATCTCCGAGTGATTTACAGAAAAGAGCACTTTTCTAACTTATGTAACACAAAAAAGTACTTTTCCCAACTAGGGTACTTCTCTATGCTTTTTGGTATATACAATGTCTCTTTTACCCTTAATGAAAAATGTTCTCCTTTTTTCTAAATTCTGCCAATAAAAATAATGGCGATAAAGAAGATTTGTTCGTGAGTTGCTCCTTAGCCGTCAAAACCATTGATACCAAAATCCAAACCCAGTTCCAATATTATTTATGATGGTGGCAAAAAATTATAAACTAATATAGGGGAATCAAAGATCAAACGATCTCCTTGTTGTGTTATCAGACATCATTTGAGAAGATTAGACTTCACCTGCTGCAAAGAGATCTGGAAACTTTTTTTATTTAATTCATCTTTAGCCCACATATTGAAAGTTTGTGGGATGCTTCGCTCAGCAAAAGCATCGGTGTTGGGGTGCGATGGCTACAGTAGACGATGATTTAAGAGAACTGATTTGGATTTCAATGTACAATGTGTTGTGGATATAATCGATACAGAAGTGAAAATATTTGTCTGCGAAACATAAGTGTGATGGATGTGAATTTGTGGATATACATATGGTTTGTGGATGTATATCGCTGGACATGTACATAAACTCTATCACATCTTCGATTAGAGTTGTAGAAAGTGACTTATTGTGGTAGATATCTGGTCACTTATATGTAGGAAGGCGTGGATGAAGATGTGATCAGAGAGCGAGCATTAATGTGGTAGATATGTACAAAAATGTGGGCATCCACACTTAATCATCCATCAATTAGTCTCTTAGCATCCACGCTTGCACATCCATCTCTTGATCGCCATTCACCAAACAACATTGTCACCAAAAAAATTGGATATGTGTCCACATAAGATCAAGCAAATGCATCCACGCTTGCACGTCCATCTCTTGATCGCCATTCACCAAACAATATTGTCACCATAAATTTTGGATATGTGTCCACATAAGATCATGCAAATGCATCCACGCTTCATTATCCATACAATCAGTCTCGCCAAAAAATAGTGTCACTGTATCCACTAATAAATCATCCATGTGAATCAATTCGATTATGTGGTAGTGTATGGATAACAAGCAGTTCATATGGATCTCTATCTGTAATTTTGAACCATTGCTCTTTCACTTGATTTTTATTTGATGAATTTGATTGAACAACCACATTGATGGAGAAATTCTGAAGTTCAAGCTTGAGTTATTGAGATTGCATTACTTTAAGGTTAAAGACTTTTAATGGAGTTTGTGGATACATATTTTGGATGGACGTTCCTATGACATTTTTTTTTTGAACAATCATTGAGAAAACCAGAATAGTGTAATGAAATTACGTTTAGTTTGTGCAGAGTAACCACCATCCATAGTATGATATCCACATATATAGAGGATTGGTATATTAGGCTATGTGGAACTGTTTAGATGGATGGATTGATGATGTAGTTTCTATAAAAACTTAGTCTCATTTGTTAAGTTTTTCCATCAACATAACCTATATAATTTGCTAGGCATAAGCAATCAAGTTTCAAAATCAAGATATTACATATGATAAAGAAATTTGCGAGCTTTGATAATAAAAAAACATAAACTTTGCAATAAATATTCATCTATGTGATCTTGTACATAATAATCAAATGGGGTGAAACCACTAACACATCCACGCTTATCCATCCACCTCGTCAATGACATATCTACACTATGATGTTCTCACTACCTTTTGAATTGAATTTACTTTCAGAGATTTGACGAGGCACTGATATATCTTACACTACATCCATAAATTTGTTTCGTCCATTGTGATGTATCAACTATGTCCCATAGCCAAGCATATTCCGAATAGGCATCGGCTACATCCACTCTGTATCGTCCACAGTCTTCATCTTATTTCACTATATCAGAATACATCGCTTGCAATCGTCATTATTCTCGTCAGATTGGGTCCTGATGTGATTGATAGAAGTGAGAAACAATGGAAAAACCAAAAATCAACGGTGAATATATCTAGTGAAATAAAATTTATCATAGATCAGGGCTTTAGCAATTGAAAGAAATAAAACTATGGAGTTTGTGTCCAGTATAGATCTGGTTCAATTTTGCCGGATCTGATATTATAGTCGGACTGAAAGATAAAAAAATGGTGGTTTCAGAAGTGAGGAGCAAAATCGTATTAGTTGAATAATTGGTGGCTATTACTAAGTGTTGTGGTAAAGAACAATGGTGGTTTTGATAGAGATTGCCATCAAAACTAGATTATTCTTAGATTTTTACAAAACTGACAAAAAGTCTTTTTTCTTAAGTTCGAAGAAGAGTTTGATAATTTGTTTTAAGGGTAGTTTGGACTTTTTACTGCTTTAAAGTACTCTTGTTGATGAAAATACTCTTTCTTGTAATTAAACTTATGGAAAGTACTCTTTTATGTAATTTTCTATAGATCTCCTTAAGCCCTTCCATTCTTAACTCCATTGCGTTAATCGCCTGAGCTTCAACCGAAGAAAATAGATCAATGCCTAAACTTTATCAATTCGAGCAATCCTTCATATATACAAAACCATACCTTGTAAGCTAAACTGATGTGGAAAAGCTTTCCGGTAAAATGACGCTTCCCCAGAATTGAACCGCCGGCTCCAATACACGACTGCTTATTCGATGTATCAATCCAAAACCTTCAAAAGAATAAACATAAGAAAGCTTTTTCAGTCATCCTCCAATGTTATGTCTAAAAACCTCTCCAATAGAAAGAATGGAAACTCACAAAGGTCTAAACTTGAGCTTATCGAGAAGTTTGTCTTTAACCAGCAAGTCCACACCAACACCTGGAATTGAAGAGTTCTCTTTCGCTGGCGATGAAAACTGCTACACCAGATGATTTCAGTGTCGGTTTGGTCTCGCTGAGGCTCTTCATGAGCTCGGTCGCAAGAGCAACATGGCCAAGACAATCTGTAGTCCCACGACCTCGAAGCTTATCGCCATCTATGGTTAGGGAGAAAGGATCAAATTCCTGTGAACAAACAACCGAAATTAAATAGAGTATCAACCGTGTAATTCTTCAAAACTCCAAATCAACCGAGCAGTAGAATCCAATAATCATAAAAAAAAAGAAATTGATGTTGCTGATACTTCACAGTAATCAATTAAGAGTTAAAAGGATAGAAATGATTGAACATTTGACGTTATTTCTTCAGAATTTGGAATCAGTGAAACCCTGTAACTCGATAATCATAATGTAACTCTTCACAATTTTTAATCAAAACACTAAAAATCAGTTTTAAAATTTAGAATTCAAAAGAAAAAATATCAGTATCACTAATACTTCATAGTGCTTGAATTTTAGAAACCGCTTAAATCCTAGAGTACACAAAAGAAGAGAAAGATTTGCTTTTTTTTTTTTTTACTTTCTAATAGGTTTGGCAAAAAATGAATGATTGCGTTTTTAATGGATCTGGATAAAAAAAAAGTTAATAAAAATTAGTATATAATGTGTATTATTAAAATGTTTTGATTAGTGATTTTTTTTTGCTGAAGTGTGAGCTTTAGAAAGCTAAAAGTCTGATGTGTTAAGTTACGAAGAGAAACAAAGGTTATTGTTGTGTTTGATGATATATTTTACTAAAAACGAATCGAACCAAAGCTCAATATGAACCAAACCATTCAAAGTAGTTTTCGCTTAAACTTGGATATAATGCCCTGAATTATATACCGAAAGACAAATAAAACGTAAAAACCAAATCAAAATCCGGACTGAACTTACTGTCAATGATCTCCTTTTTATTTATTTTTGTAGAAAGTAAATATTTGGACCACTTTTGATTTGTGCGTCTCATCCTTGCACAGCGTCATGCTAATCTTCTTTGTATCCTTCTAATTTTATCAGATGTTCCAAAGGATATGGTTTCTTTTGTTATTTACTCCTTTTTCAGGTTTTAGAACTGTTATTTGAACTAATTATTTTAGTTCTGGCTTACAGATATCTTAACCATCTCAGCTCTGAGCTGGCTAGTTAACTATGTTATCTCAATCCTTAAAGTTTGCTTGTTTTTCAAGTTTGATGCAGTTACTAAGTTTCTATATAAAATGACACTGATTTAAATTAACCTAGAACTGAGACTGGAGGAAACCAAATTAAGGAAGAAATTGTACTAGTTTTGCATCAATCTTGGAATGAAGAATCTTGACATCTTATCATTCACCTTGTTTTGCAATCAATTTGATTTTCTTGATGTTTGGATATGTTACTTGTGAACTATACATCTTACTTTAGCTTAACGAGACAAGAAATAAATGGCTTAAACATGTCTTGAACCTTACTGAGTCTACTTATTTACAAACGATGAATTTTGTTTTGAATGTTGGCATGTTTGGTGGAGCCTTCTTCTTCCCTCTGCTACTTCCAAGGATACGTAGACTCTGTCTCAGTAAGTCAATCTCTCTTTCTTTGCCATCACGCTGTTTTTCCATCGAATCTATTCTCCCTTTCAGTGTCTCAATGGTTTCTTCCCTAACTTTAACTTCTTTCCTGAGTTCTTACACTATCTTTGCCCCTTCTTCTTGCGGTTTCTGTCGTAGTGCATCTCCTAAAAGAAAACAAAGTCATTACTTTCCTTTTCTTAAAAACAAAATCAAAGTCAAGAGATGAGACAAGAGCATCATATTACCATATGTTGTGTGGATGAGATCATCAAGCTCGTTCTTGATAGCGAAGTAGAGCTGTTTCCACCTCTCCACGGCTTCTTCCCTCATGGCTCTCTCTAAGCACATTTGTTCCACGACCCATTCCCACTCGTGTTGTTTCGCCTTTGCTTCTTCTCTCTGTTCCATTTTTTGCCTCAGCCTCTTCACTTCTTCTCTAAGTTTCTTCCTATCTTTCCTCCACTCTGTCTCCACCATCTTCAGAGCTGATATTACTGCCTCTTTCTCATCAATCTCTCTTCTTGTTGGTCTCCTTCTCTCTTCATTTGATCTCCTCTTGATGCACCTCCTAGTAGTTTTTCTTCGCTCCTGCTTGCTTGTGGAACCACCCATGTATTAGATCTTCTGAAAAATGTGAATGTTTCTTCCTATCTTCTTCTTTCTCTATCTCTCGAATTTATGTTCTTCTGAATGTCTTTTGTTTATTTCTATTTTATCTGTAGTGAGGCTCTGTGAGTCTGTCTTTCATTCAATGAAGAGAAATGATTATGTGTGAGTGAAGAAGCTCCACATTGCGGCCTTCCAGTGTACTCTCACAAGTTATTTATATAAAGCGGTCCAAAAGTATCTTATAATAGGTTTCACTTGTCCCTAACACAGTACTGTAAGATTATGGGATGTCTTTAACAAAAACTAATATCAATTCACACTAAGTATTCTCATGTGGCCTAAGATAATAAAAAGATAGAAGAAGTTATGAGAAGTCTCAGGACAAAGTACATAATAGAAAACAAGAGAGAAAAAAAAAGAATTGAAGTTGTATTTTTTTAGTATTATGAAAAGCATTGATTCTTCTTCAATCTCTCATTAATTGTGTGGGCTTTGTTTGTTTGTCACATGCATAATAAACCTGGACCCATCCCTCTTTACTTCATCTTTTTTTCTTTCCTACATTTATTACTCCACATTTTGCTTTTATAGGTTTGGTTCAAATCTCAAGGAGGAGGAGATTTAAGTTTGTTAATGTAAAGACAAAAGGCTTGAACTTGTTTTGTTTTACTTAATCTCGGAATCCGGCAGACTAATTTGTTAAACTTGGTGATTAGCTTTGGATCTTACAGTGAATGATGGTGATTGAATTGATGATAAATGAGTGTATCTGCTTTGGTAGTAAACTAGTCAAATTAATAATAGAGAGGGAAAGACAAAAAAAATGGGGTACAAGGTCTAATCAAAATTGATAACGTAGAGGCTGAATAGCTAGCTATTAAGTGAAAAGATAGACTCCAAACATCAATCAGATCAATGTGTTTTTCTTCCTTCACGTGAACTTCCCCCTGTTAATTTGGGTTTTTGTCTCTGAATCCCTTCTTATCTTTATCGTACATTTTCAATACGTGACAAACATAACAAAACCATCATATCTTTCTCTTTGTTAAGTTGGACACTGCCCCCTAAGAGAAATGACTTGGACCAGCCTAGGAGCTCAACAAGGTAGGCCTCAAGAGTAAGAAAGCAAAAGATATTTTGTTCAAAGTTAACGTTAATTAAATATGTTTACGCATATACACTTCTAGAAGAATGTTTAGTAGGTATCTTACCGCTTTAGAGTTTTACATTTCCGTAACCACCAAAGCTGTATTGTTATGATCCTGATTCAATTTGTGTACACCATACAAGTAACAATATATATACATATACACACACACGGTACAAACTTGCAAGCATCTTTTGCATGTTTTGTAACATTTTGAGACTTCTCATATAAACACAATCATATGATACATGCCAACAACATCAATCATTCATCACACATATATGCATTCACTTTACTTATCTTTCACCGCAAACTCATCATAGACCACTGGTTCATACCCACCGATGATGGGAGTGCTGGTCGGATTATGGGCACACGTTTCACTAACGAGATAGCTTCGTTCAACCGAGCAGCACGATTCGCCACCTTCTGAAAAATGAACCCATTCAAGAAGAAGAATCAAAATGGTGTAAAAAGTCTTCCAAATTGTGTTCTGAAATACTCATAACTCTTGTTCTTTATTTTTAATAAGTGAATAGTTACATTTAAGCAAGATCATGAATTTCAGCAGCAAACATGAAATGGTACAAAGAAGAACCAGAAAGATGAATTCAAAAGCATAAAATCTCTGAGAGGCAAAGTGAGAACTAGTTTAAGAACCCTTCAACTAACCAAAGAACATGCAAAACTAAAATAGTAAGAAAATATAACCATTATTCTCTCATCAACTACACTATTGCTTCTCCATACCAAAAGCATCTTTTAAGTATCAAGAACTCAACCGGTGCTATATCAAAGAGCTTATGAAGGCTTACAAGAACACTTTTCTTCATCAAAATTGTGTAAATGAAGTCGGTGAACATATGGTTGATTAAAAACTACTTTAGCGAAGAGCAAACTCTCAATAGTAAGTAATAAAAAAACAAACAGTTTAAAACAACCAACAAGGCAACAACTGCAAAAGAAAGAGACTTCTGGTCATCTGATTTCATCAACATATCAAACAATGAAACTTACAAAAACGTCTACTTAAAACAGCAAAAGATTAAACTGTGCACCAAGTTTGTTAGCCTCATGAATTATTAACATAGGCAATAAAAAATAAACACAGATAAGTTACCTTATCATCAAGCAGAACCTTAAGCTGCAAGGTACGGCTCTTCTTCTTCATGTGATACAATTTGCGACCTAACATAACAAAACCCACAAACGCTGCTGCCATGGAGAGAGACCAAACAGGATTGACCCTAAAAACACAAGACTTCAACACCTCTATCGGAATCTTCCACCACACAAATCCTCCAGATTTAACAGATGAATCAATAGAGATATACTTTGGAGATTCCTCTTCTCTCACGATATCGATTCCTCCTCCAGAGCTCACTAAACCAATTTCTCCACTAGAATCAAACCAATCTTTCCCCAGATGCCTCTCTTCCGCTACACTTTCGCTGTGTTCATCTGATTTCTCTAAACCCAACTCATCACCGACTAATCTCTGATCATCGAGCCGATCGCTGCTCGAATCCGACCATAATTCGCTAAAATGCCTCGGGCCATAAGGAGCGTCGGAGCGAGGCTCGATCCAGCCTGGGCTACCCGATTGAAGAGGCCCATCTTCATCGATCGCATCAACACGACACACACCTTTATTGTTCTCGAGAGAGAAGTAATCGGAGGTAATCATACCTTGGGCGCCATCTTCATCATCAATCTCCTCCAAGATCTTCGAATTCTCCTCCTCATGAGTAGATCCTGAGCTATGAAGCACTTCCCAATCTCCTTGAAGCTCTCCTTCCATGTCAAAAGAATTAGGGTTTTCTGATCGGGGAAATCAAACCTAAAGGGGAAGGCTTTGTTTAGGCTTTGTGTGGCAGAGCGTAGAATTTCGCGGTCAGAGAAACATTCGGATGACGTGGTGTGGTGTAATTGGATAAGAGATAAAGTCTGGTCAAAACTTGCTAGTAAAACAGACTTGCAACGACAGTAAAACTGCAGAATAACCGGAAAAACAAATTAAACTATCTTAATGAAAAATTCCTAAATATATTTTTGTGATTGAATAAATTGTACGAAATAGATAAATATAATATTCAAAACTTAATTTCATTATAATATCTTAACTATTATATTTTATTATATAAAATTAGATGCATCAAAGTTAGTAATTCACAAGATTATGACACATGGCAAGTTAATCGATTAGATTACGTCAAAATATCACTATTATTAAAAAATATATATAACCATTACATTATTTAAAAAATATAAATTTTAATAATTTTTTTTAAAAGTAAAAACTAATCTTAAAAGAAAAAAGAAAATATTACTCACATCTTTATAAATATATAAAATCTCTTATGATTTTTCTAAGCTGATTTATCTTTTAGACTCGAATCAAACAAATAAGATGAAAAACTGACGATACGATGAAAAACAATCAGAATTGTACAAGCATAATAAATGTGAAAACCAAATTTTCTTTTAAATATGTAGAGAATTTTATATATTAGTAATTCACGTGATCCACATAACAATTTTTTCGATGAAGATTTTGATACGTGTCGCGATTAAATTAAAAATAAAAATAAATATAGAAAATATCATAATTATTAAAAAATAAAAATAAAATAAAATATAACTACTATAATATCTAAAAATGAATATATTAAAAATTTATGTATTTCAATTAAAAAAAGAAAAACAGTTTAAAAAAAGTAAAGACTAATCCTAAAAGAAAAAGAAATTATTACTCACATCTTTATAAATACACAAAAAATTAATAATTTTTCTAGGTTGATTCTTTTCTAAACTCGAATCAATTGTATAAAATGAAAAACTAATGAAGCGATAAAAAATAATCAGAATTGTGGAAGCAAAATGAAAGAGAAAGCCAACTCTGATACCATTTTACCAAATGAGAGTTTGTTAGAGAAAAGTCTTATTTGTAAAAAATATAAAAGTAAATACATAATGAAAGAGAAACCCAGTTTTTATAAACAATTTTATTATAATTGGTTTTGCGAAAATGTTTTCAATCTTATATTTTATGTTCACAGTGATCTAATTTTGTTTTATATTCTTTTCATGTTTATTCATATTTATAAAAAAAATATAAAAATAAACAGAAAATGAAAGAGAAAACCAATTTTTTAATCAGTTTTATTATAAGTGGTTTTGCAAAAATGTTTTCAATCTTACCTTTTTAATGTTCACAATGATCTAATTTTGTATTTTTACCTTTTTTATGTTTGTCATATTATTTAAAAGTAAACATGGAACAAAGGAGAAAGCTAGTTTCTTCAACCAACTCTATTATAAGTAGTTTTGCGAAAATGTTCTCAATCTTAATTTTTAATATTCACAAGGATCTAATTTTATTTTTTACTTTTTTATATTTTGTTTTTTTAACGGGTTATGTAATAGTTAAAATAAATCAGTGTATATAGGGATCACAATCTAAGTTAAAATAACTGAAATATATGTGAGTCAATTAAATCAAAATTTACCACGTGTAATAACACATTTTAACTAACAAAAAGTCGAATATAAATACAGAAATAAATATAATTAAAGCCATTTATTTTTGTTGATAATTTGTTATTTACAAGTTTTAAAATAATTTAAACCCGTGTGTACGACTCCTAATCTAGTGATACTATAAAAATTAAAATATTAATCATATTATTAATTGAGAATCAGGTTGGGTAGTAGTTAAAAGTTATTATGGTTAATTATTCTTTACCTTTCATATGAACTAGACTAATACCCGCACGTACGTGCAGGTTTTTTTATAAAATGTATTTTGTTATAAAAATAAAATATGTCTATGTGAATTTTGTACTTATAAAATTTTTCAAATATAATATATTTGCTGGGTTCATTTTTATAGGTAAATGATACGCAGACAGTAGGCTTGACCAAAATGATAAATTTGGTGCCTAGGCTTGTCTAACGACTCGCTACCTAAATGTTCCTCGGTATATGGCGGACTTCCCAATGAGTATGTTGTGGTGGCATATCTACTCTATCTAAGCATCTCTCGGATGGGACAGATCAGAGGAAAATGTGTATAAGAAAAAAAGAAGAGGTCAAGAGGAGAAGAAATGCTGAAGATCCTCAAACCATTCCCCGGAGGCGAGAGGTTCAAGATCTCTTAACGTTCCCCAAACGAGCGCCAACTGAGATAAGCATTCACTTCTTCCCTATCTCTTTACTCTCTCCCCATTAAAAAAGAACTCCAACCCCACTTTCTCAATGGTTCATACATTTCACATTCCCCTTTACCAAATGACAGAAGAGTATCACGATCCTCAGACGGGGTATCCAAACTATAAAGCCATCACCATCCATCCGCCCTCCTGATTATCTGTTCACTGCGGGACATTATCTAAATTGAGCATCAGAGAACTTTCAGGAGGGAAACCCATTTCTGGTCTCCCATATGCCCGATTCACCCGCTGCGAATGTTTGCAGGACCTAAAAATTTTCTCTTCCCGGAAGTGTATACCATTCAACCCTAGAGGCCTAATCTAAGAGGCTTAGCTGTACTACTCGGACGAACACACATCCCTGTAAAAAGTCGTAATTTGCTCACGAACAACATAACTTTCGTAAATATAATAATTGAGTTTTTGTCTATCATATATATATATATATATATACAGTTGTATAAAGCTATATTTGTGTATTTTAATTTATGTTATCAATTAATTTATAACATTATATACTATTTTTGGAGAGACCTATCAAACATAATTATGATTTTGTTTTAATAATTATTATTTTTTCATCTACTGTTTTATTTAACTTCTAAAATACCATCAAATAGAACTATTACACACATCACATAAATAATAATTTATTTTCTTTTTTCTTTATCTTTATTTTTTTTATGTTCCTTTTACTATCAAATTACAAATATATCCTATTTTTAAATACATATCTATTTGTTATGTAACTGGTTCATCCTTCATGAGAGTTCCACCACCATTGTCAATTTTGTTTTCTTTTTTGCTTAAATTTGCTTAGTGAAATATTTTGTTTTTTCGTTTTTAAAAAGAAGTAGTTTCTGTGGTTTTTTTATATCTTGAATTATTTTTAGTTCAAATTTAATTCAATTTTATCATTTAAATTCATAAATAAATAGATGTTTCATATTATGAAAATACAGTTTTATATCTAACTAATGTAATATATTTAATGATAATTATTTATTAGATTGTTTTAATTTTAGTTAGCCACTTTTCACTTCTGATGTGTTATCAAGCTGTGGAAGAGAGTTCACCTCTATTCATATATATAATTTATTTTATTTATCCTTAATAAAATTAGTTAATTAAAATAGTTCAATTTAGTATTAATTTTAAAAACATAAATTATATCTCTATAATATTATTTGAGAAATATATTTTTGAAACAATAAAAAGCAAGGCTATTACGATTATTGCCACTAAAATTATAACTATATTGTGTCTGGCAACATATATATTTAGGGACAAAAGAGGCGAGTTAACTGAGTTAACTCATCTTACATAACTCGGACTATGCCCAAACAGAAAAATCCGACCCAGAAGCCCATTTCAAAAAACGCGCATCCTGAAATTCATTTAAATCAAACCGGATCTTAAATTAGATAATTTCACTGGCATCGGTTTGCAAACCTGTTTCAGAAACGGAAAATCCAATATCAATAGGAATGAATATAGCAGATAATATCATAAGTAAGCGAATATGAAAATATCTTATTATTCATCGTCGCAAATCGGAAATCTTTGACGGAAATCTTGAACTAATTGCTTACGCATAACAAACATGTCAATATTTAACGAGCTAATCAAGAATCTTGCCTAATAAAATTATGAATACCATTAAAAATCTTAAACAGTTACCAAATAATTCGAGATCTTTAAATAAAATCCTTGACCCTCAATTTTATTAAACCTACTGTAATCTTTTTGAAACACTATAAAAAAATTAGCATAATAGGAAACATACCTGAAAGCAATTTATCTAAGCATCCTAGAGCTTTGTCAAATCGAAAAAAATGATGCACTTCTTCCCATTCTCTATGAGACTCGAAGCTCCTAGCCCATGTCCTGCAAACATAGAAGAGGAAAGGTAAGAGTCTATTCTAAATTTCTAATCAAGCGCCATTACTATTTATATAGTATTCTCTATTATCTACCGATCTACCGTATTAAATCATAGTGACAATGTTAAGACATGATCAGTTTACATGTTCATTATACTTACTGACTAACTAAACCATTCTAAAATTACAGTATCTCATGTAAAAAGGGCAAGGAAAGATATGGCAAAAAAAAAGCATAAAGAAATGAAGAAATAAAGGGAAGAGACCTTTGTTATATTTTAAATATTGTTGTCTTGCAATTCTAACTTCAGTTTTATTCAACATGATACTCTTCTATCCCTCTCTCGAAGAACATCAATCCTTTCAAAACCGTTTAACAAATTCAAATCAAGATCCACTGCATACATTAAAACAATATGCTTATGTTGTTATGCATAAAACGCAGTTATGCATACATACAAACAGTACGCAGCCAAACCGGGATACACTTTTGAAATGGTTATGGTCGATGCCAAGGTAAATTCAATGAAATGAAATGTATATAAAACATTATATTATACTTTATTGTCTGCCTATTTATCAACCTTTACTAGAATAGAGGTTTTCTTTATTTATTCTGACCTTCTTTTTTTGGCTGATGGTGGTGTCTTTCGTATGTTTTCCACAGTTATATTTAAACACCTCTCCTCCGCAACAATGGCTTCAATGATATAGAATGATGTCCCTGCCACATACTAAAAACACAATTCAACAAGATGATATATGTTTGATTCTTAAAGTGTTTATTTGTTATACATTCGAACATATCTAATGCAAATACTA